CTCCAGCAGGTGTCCCGACGCAAAGAGGCAGATCGCTCACCCTGCCCCGACCTCTTCCCCCTCCGACCCCCCACCCCCCCGGCCCGCTTCCCCGCACCGTCAGCACTCAGTAGCACCTCCGGAAGGAGCAAGGGGTGGCTTGTCAGGGGTGGCGGGGTTTCTCCTGGCGGCAGCAGTGCAGCCGGAGAGTCCAAGCCCCTGCGGTGGCCGGACGTGCGGGCGTCTGTGGGTGGCCCCGCGTGAGGACAGAGGGTATCGCGCGCGCGCGCGCGCGTGCGCGCGGCCTCTCGGGTTTGGGACGGAGGAAGAGGGGGAGCCATGCGAGCGCCCAGGCGAGGCGCCGACGCGCTGCCGTTGGGCGGCCGGCCCGCTGGCGAGGCCAAAAGGGTTGGGCTGGCCGAGGCGACAGGGCAAGGCTTGGGCTCGGCCGTGCGCCTGGCCTTGTCTGGGCCCCGAGGCCGTGGGGCTAGCCGCGAGGCAAGGGAGAAGCCAGCCAGCTTCGGCTAAAAGGGGTGCGGATGCGCTGGGGAGAGGTCGGGAGGCCGAGAGGAAGAAGAAAGGCTTCCCTGACCGGGAATCGAACCCGGGCCGCGGCGGTGAGAGCGCCGAATCCTAACCACTAGACCACCAGGGAGCGTCGGGCTCTGCGCCTGGCCCGCGCGCCCTGGGCGCAGCGCCTCCAGACCACCCCGTCGCCTCCGCTTTGGCTCCAAGGCCCCTGCCTGGCCACGGCCAGCCGCCCGCCCGCCCTACCAACCCACCCGCCCTGCCGGCAGCACCCTCAAAACGCTGCGCACCTCCTTCCCTCCCTCACACACGCGCTCAGCCTCGGGCCACGCTCCGGCTCCGGGCTCTCGGCTCCCGGCTCCCGGCTCCCATCGGGCCTGGGCACGAGGGCCCTGGAGCCGTGCAAAAGGTTGGCCAGCTGCGTTGGCCGGGAATCGAACCCGGGTCAACTGCTTGGAAGGCAGCTATGCTCACCACTATACCACCAACGCTGCACAGCCCCGGCCGCCCCGAGACGCCGGCGCACGCTTCGCAGAGGCGCCTTCACGCCTTCTCGCCGCCGCCTGGGCCGCCTGGCGCCGCCCTGCCCCGACGTGCCGCCGGTCGGCAGCTCTGCGCTGCCGCAGGCGCCAGCAGCGGCCGCCCCAGCCCCAGCCGCAGCCCCAGCGCCAGCCCCAGCCCCAGCCCCAGCGCCAGGCCCAGCCCCGCCAGCACGACGCCGCTGTGCGGCTCCGCAGGCCCGACCGCCCGCCGCCCGCCTCTGGGGGGCGCTCTGGCCGCCGTGCCGCTCCCCCGGCCCTCGGCTGCCGGCCGGGCATTCCCCGCCCCGCGAGACACGCTGCCCTCCGGCGACCCGCTCGCCCGGGCCCTTCTCCGCGGAGTGCCCGGCGAGGCCACATCCCGCACCCACAGAGGACCCGACCCAGCCGCCGCCCACCCCGTCCCCCGCGCCCATCCAGCACCGGGCAGCGTCGCGTCGCCGAGGAGCCCGTTGCGGCCAGTCACTCGTCAGGCGCCGGGGGCACGACAGGAGGCCCTGGCTGGGCCGTGGTGACCCCGCACGCGCGCGCGCGCGCGCCCGGGGTCACGAGGAAGGCAAAGGGGTGGGGGCGCTCGACGGTGGGCAAGCCGGGCACCCGTCGTCGCCCCGCGCTTCTCGCCGGACGCGCGAGGGAGGAGAAGGGCCCTGGGGGCAAGCGTTTGGACAGAGCGGCGGTGGCGCCGGCGACCAAAAAGGGCGTCTTGCCTCCCCGTCGGGGAATCGAACCCCGGTCTCCCGCGTGACAGGCGGGGATACTCACCACTATACTAACGAGGACGGCGGCGGCGGCCACCCGGGCGCCCGACCCCTCTCCGCCTGCCCGCCCACGCCTACCCCTGCCCTCGACGCCCTGCCTTACGCAGGCGCCCGCCACGTGCCACACCCGACCGGACCCCAAACCAACCGCGCCAGCCCGCACAGCAGCCCTCCCAGCCCGACTCGGAGTGGACCCCAGGCCCGGGCCCCGGACCCGGACGGCGCGGAACACTCCGAGTGCGCCGGCGCCTAGGGCCTGCCCGGCGCGGATCGCGCAGGGAGAAGAGGCCCGAGCGGGCAAGCAAGGATGCGAGCAGGAGGACGGGCGCCCCGGATGGGCAGGGGCGGAGGAGGGAGGGCGGCGAGGACCTAGTGGGGGTGGGGGGTGGGGGGTGGGGGGGGGGCGGCGGCGGCCAGACAGGCTGGGCCGACGCCGGTCTCTGGGTGCGGGGCCGCGATGTGCGAGGGGGCGGGGCGGCGCGGGGCGAGGCGGCGGCGACGGCGGCGGCCGCGGCGGGCGCGGCGCCAGGCGAGGCGGCGGGCGCGGCGCCAGGCGAGGCGGCTGGCGCTGCTCCTGGTCGGCCGGGGCGCGCGTCCCGTCCCTTGCGCGCCCACACAGCCGCCAGCCGCCGCCAGCGTTCGCGCCGGGTCCCAGCCAGGCGAGCGGCGACGCGCCCAGGCCCGCCGTCAGGATGGCCGAGCGGTCTAAGGCGCTGCGTTCAGGTCGCAGTCTCCCCTGGAGGCGTGGGTTCGAATCCCACTCCTGACACGCCCACCTTTTGGCCCGCACCACCAGGGCACCGGACCCCGGCGGGCCTGGAGCCACGCCCTATCGCAAGCCCGCTCCTGCCTGGCCCGCCGCTCCGGCCTTGCGCCCTAGCACAAAGGGCCCAGTGCCGAGCCCTGACGCCTCGACGCTCCTGGCCCCAGGCTTGGCGCACACACGCCCTCCCCCACCAGGTCACGCGCCTTTCCCGCCCGATCCCACGCCCACCCCCGCAGGCCTGGGCCACTTGGCAGCACGTCTCTCCTCACCTGCTTTCCGGGGGCTGCGTTTTCCTTCCTTCCTCCCTCGGGCTCCCGCTCCCGCTCCACTCCCGCGGCCCCCTGCAGACCAGCCGGCGGCGCAAATGCCCAAAGCCCTCCGCATTCCGTTCTCCACCAGACTGGTGCCTGCTGAAGAGCGCCTCGCTCTCAGAGCCGTGCACTCCCGCCACCAGGAGCACACCGTCCCACAGAGAGCCCGTCCGTCCTTTCCGCCGGCCCCCATTCCCTTCTCTCCACACCCTCCTCAGGTGGCCCGAGGTGCCCACGACGATTTGCCACCTTGATGACGCTTTACCCTGCCCACACCTGCCTGCCTCCCTCCCGGGACCCAGGCTGCCCAGCCACCTGCTCGCCGGCCCACGACAGGGCCCTCCCTTCAGTGGGCCTGGCCCGGGAGTCCAGCCCGGGCAGGTGGCTCCCGTGAGCGCTGAGCCCAAGGAAGCCCTGGATCCCCAGGCCACCCACCTGGGCGCCCCAGCGCATCTCCGCGCCGGCAGCCGCTGCCCGGCCGGGACCCGAGGACCCCAGCGCGCTCCCTCACCGCGCTGTCGGCCAGCTAGCCAGCAGCCACTCTGCCGGAGCGCTCCCGCCAGCCAAGGTCGCGCTCTTGCCTCACAACCACCGCCGCCCTCCCCACGCCCCCCGCCCCCCCGCCGAGCTGGCCCCCGAGGGAGCGCTGCGCGCCCGAGCTCACACACCTCGCTTCGCTCTCCTGGCCTGAGCGGCTACTCGGCGGCGCCGGCGGCGCTACGGGGCCTCCATCTCCTACACACGACACACGCGCCCGCCCACACCCACACCCACACACCCCACCCCGCGACAGCCCACCCCACGGCACCGCACGTGCGCACACAACCGGAGCTCCGGTCCGCCGCCCCGCCCGCCCTCGCACCCTCTGCCCCGGCCAGGAAGCCCTCGGCCAAAGGGGCTTTGGGTGGCGGCTGAGAGGAGCCGCGGAAGGCCACGGCCGTGCTCAGCCGCGCCTGCCACAGCCTCCCCCGCGCTGGGTGGGATTCGGGCGCTGGCCAGCCTGGGTCCGGCTCCCGGCTGCCCCTGGCCACCCCGGCAGGGCAGCGTCTCGCCGCGGCCCTCGACCGAGGAGAAAGCACCGCAGGAGCCTAGTCGGCCGGCGTGCGTCCCCGCCGCGCTCGGCCCGTCTGCGCCGCTCGCTAGGGCTCGGGACGTGCCTGGAGCCTCTGTCCCACACCGCGCGTCCGCCTCCTGCTCAAACGAAGCCGATGCTCCGAACAGGCCCGGACCCGGGTCTGGCCGCCGCTGGGGAGCGCCGCTGGGGAAGCCGTCTGGGGAGCGGCGCCATCGGTGCATGGGTGGTTCAGTGGTAGAATTCTCGCCTGCCACGCGGGAGGCCCGGGTTCGATTCCCGGCCCATGCAGCGCGCCGTCCCCTTTTGGCCGGCCCTGCAGCCCCAGCGCGCCCCCCGGCTTCCTCTGGCCCACGCTCAAGGCGCCTGGCCTAAACCAGCTCCGCTCCGGACCAGGCCGGAGCCCGCCCCTGCCCTTCCTCTCCGTCTCTCTCGCCCAGCGGACCAAACTCCACCCAGCGCCCGAGGCCCCTGGCCCGCCCACACGCCTCCCTTGCCCCTTTTCTCTTCAGGACCCTGAGCACCCCGCTTCGCTCACCCGCTTCCCTTCCAGCGAGGCTCCCCCGCACCACCACACACCCGCACGGCGCCGCGCCGCACCAGAGCCCACGGGGCCGCGCCCCACCTCCACGCCTTTCATCACGGTTCCTCCCTCCCGGTCTCACTCTACCCACACTGCCAGAGTCCTCCTCTCTTTGCACAACCAGGGGCAACCAAGTTGCCACCCCGAGCCCTGATCCGTCCCATTCTCCTCCAGGGACCCTCACAAACTCACTGGGCTGCACCAGGAAGACCCGATGCATGGCACCACATGCTCCCGACGCGCGCCCTATAGTCTCTTGAGGCCCCGCTTGGCCGCAGTGGCCTTCCAACTCCGCCGCTCCTGCCACGCTAGGACCCCCGCCAACACCAGGTCCACCAACGCCCGCGCCAGCACTAGCACCAGCAGCACCAGTCTCCCCCTCCGCCGCCACCACCACCACCACCACCAGTCCTCCATCACCACACCGCGTCGGGCACCATCGCCCAGAGCAGGGAAGTTCTCCACCATCAGCACCACCCACCCCACCACCAAGTCCACCACCAAGTCCACCACCACGATCACCAGCAGGACCAAGTCCGCCACCAGCGCACCAGCTTGGCATCATTGCCAACGGTACCGAAGTCCTCCACGATCACCACCCCCACCCCCACCGCCACCACCGCCACCTCCACCATCACCAACACCGCCACCTCCAACATCGCCACCACCAACAACTCCACCACCACCGCCACCTCCAGCACCAGCACCACCACCATCACCAGCAGGACCAAGTCCACCGCCAGCTCACCAGCATGGGCATCATTGCCAACAGTACCAAAGTCCTCCACGATCACCACCCCCACCACCCCCGCCACCACCGCCACCACCACCAGCTCCACCACCACCACCGCCACCTCCACCACCACCACCACCACCATCACCAGCAGGACCAAGTCCACCGCCAGCTCAGCAGCATGGGCATCATTGCCAACGGTACCGAAGTCCTCCACGATCACCACCCCCGCCACCCCCGCCACCCCCGCCACCCCCGCCACCACCTCCACCAACTCCACCAGCTCCACCAACACCAGCTCCACCACCAAGTCCACCATCACCACACCGCGTCGGGCACCATCGCCAACACTCCTGGAGTCCATCACCACCGCCGCCGCCACCGGGACCGTGCACACCATCGCCACAGCAGCCCGCGCACCGGCACCAAGAGCACCGAGGTCAACCCCCAGCACCAGCAGCAGCAGCACCAAGTCGTCCTCCACCAGCAACACAAGCACCAGCACAGCCTGCACCTCCAGCCCCACCAGCCCCTCCTGCCCCAACATCCCCTCACGGTTCCCCTGCCTGCACGCCCCCTCCTCTCCAAGTCCTCACTGGTCAATGATCCTGTGTGGCATTTGTCCCTTTGGCCTCTCTGAATCTCAAGCCCAGGACGCCCCCTGACGCATGACTGGCTGTCCCGATGACAGGTGATCGAAGTCTCGGGGGCGGTGGAATCCCTCACCCCGTTGGGACGGCTCCTAGACCCGGGCCCGCCCTCTCTCTGTGTCTCCCTTCGGCCTGCCCGCCGGCCTGCTTCCCACCCACGCCCCCCACACCCCACCCCTTGGCCTGACCACCTTGCAGCACCGCACAGCAGTCTCCCCCCGCGCACCTCCTCCGCCACGGTCCTGTCCCGCCACGGGGGCCTCCAGCTCTCTTGCACCGGGGCCCGCTCCCCAGCACTTGCCACGCGCAGCTCCTGCCAGCCTCCAGGCTGGACCCCTCCCACCCACCCCCCACCCCCATCGCTCACATTCTCGGCTGGCAGTCCCGGCCTCCCACACGCTCCTCAGGCACACTCGTGCTCTCTCCCCTCCCCTACCTCAGAGCTCACCCTCCCGCACAGGTGCTCACGTCCATGCCTGGCATGGCGCCGGGGAAGGAGCTCTTCCCCCGCCCCACCGAAGCCTCTGCAGACACCCTGCCCGACTGTCCAGCCGCACTCTGGACCGGTCCCGCAAGCCCCACACCTCCCCGCGCCGGGCACCCCACCCACACACCCGGGCTGCCCCCGGCCCTCCCCTCCTTCTGGGATCCTCCTCGCTCTATGCCCTGACCCCCGTGGGAGGCCACCCACGTGAGTAAACACCTTCATCCCGCGGCATCCCCCACCACACACGCTCCACACACACCCCCCCACACACGCTCACACCCACACACCCCACACACACCCCACACGCATCCAGACACACCCCCACACGCTCACACCACACACACACACACACACACACACACCCACACACCCACAGAAGCAATGGCGCTGAGGGAAGTTCCCGTGGTGATGGTCAGCGCCCGGCTGCCCACAGCGGCTCCTTTCCACCGCTGGGACGACCTTGCCCCAACCCAGCCAGTGTGGTGCCGCGGCAGGTTTGGCCGGTGCACGGGCTGTCCGCTTGGGCTCCTGAAGGAGACAATCTCTGAACAGACAGCAGACCCGTGGCGGACAGAGGCGTGCAAGTGTTTCTGGGAAGGAGACCGTGGTCTGCGATTTAGCTGGAGGAGCACCCGGACAAGACGACGGGCACAGGGCTGGAGACAGGGCTGGAGTAGCTCCTGGCTAGGTGTCGGCTAAGGCGCCAGTGGGAAAACCTTCAACGGGCAAACTCGGCCGTGGGCCTGCGCGGTGGCGGTCGGGGCTGGGGGAGGTGGAAGGCGTTCCAGGGAACACGCTTGCCACTTTGCCGTGGGACTCAAGGGATGGGTGATGCGATTTCAAGAACCTGTTGGCTACAAGTCCACCGTCTGTCTCCGGTGTGCCTCCACCCCCTCCCCCTGCTTGGCTGTTGGGTTTTCCCCACCGGCCTCCCGAATCTTCCTGCTGTCTCTCCTGCACTGCCCGTCGGTTCTGCTTCGTGCACGCGTCCACGTTCGCTCTCCCAACTCCACATCCCCGGCGCAACCGTGCCGCTCTCTGCTCGTGGTGGCCGGGAAGCTGGACCGAGCGGTGGCTGGCCCGAGGGCGAGGGAAGGGACCAGGGGCTCCAGCAGGTGTCCCGACGCAAAGAGGCAGATCGCTCACCCTGCCCCGACCTCTTCCCCCTCCGACCCCCCACCCCCCCGGCCCGCTTCCCCGCACCGTCAGCACTCAGTAGCACCTCCGGAAGGAGCAAGGGGTGGCTTGTCAGGGGTGGCGGGGTTTCTCCTGGCGGCAGCAGTGCAGCCGGAGAGTCCAAGCCCCTGCGGTGGCCGGACGTGCGGGCGTCTGTGGGTGGCCCCGCGTGAGGACAGAGGGTATCGCGCGCGCGCGCGCGCGTGCGCGCGGCCTCTCGGGTTTGGGACGGAGGAAGAGGGGGAGCCATGCGAGCGCCCAGGCGAGGCGCCGACGCGCTGCCGTTGGGCGGCCGGCCCGCTGGCGAGGCCAAAAGGGTTGGGCTGGCCGAGGCGACAGGGCAAGGCTTGGGCTCGGCCGTGCGCCTGGCCTTGTCTGGGCCCCGAGGCCGTGGGGCTAGCCGCGAGGCAAGGGAGAAGCCAGCCAGCTTCGGCTAAAAGGGGTGCGGATGCGCTGGGGAGAGGTCGGGAGGCCGAGAGGAAGAAGAAAGGCTTCCCTGACCGGGAATCGAACCCGGGCCGCGGCGGTGAGAGCGCCGAATCCTAACCACTAGACCACCAGGGAGCGTCGGGCTCTGCGCCTGGCCCGCGCGCCCTGGGCGCAGCGCCTCCAGACCACCCCGTCGCCTCCGCTTTGGCTCCAAGGCCCCTGCCTGGCCACGGCCAGCCGCCCGCCCGCCCTACCAACCCACCCGCCCTGCCGGCAGCACCCTCAAAACGCTGCGCACCTCCTTCCCTCCCTCACACACGCGCTCAGCCTCGGGCCACGCTCCGGCTCCGGGCTCTCGGCTCCCGGCTCCCGGCTCCCATCGGGCCTGGGCACGAGGGCCCTGGAGCCGTGCAAAAGGTTGGCCAGCTGCGTTGGCCGGGAATCGAACCCGGGTCAACTGCTTGGAAGGCAGCTATGCTCACCACTATACCACCAACGCTGCACAGCCCCGGCCGCCCCGAGACGCCGGCGCACGCTTCGCAGAGGCGCCTTCACGCCTTCTCGCCGCCGCCTGGGCCGCCTGGCGCCGCCCTGCCCCGACGTGCCGCCGGTCGGCAGCTCTGCGCTGCCGCAGGCGCCAGCAGCGGCCGCCCCAGCCCCAGCCGCAGCCCCAGCGCCAGCCCCAGCCCCAGCCCCAGCGCCAGGCCCAGCCCCGCCAGCACGACGCCGCTGTGCGGCTCCGCAGGCCCGACCGCCCGCCGCCCGCCTCTGGGGGGCGCTCTGGCCGCCGTGCCGCTCCCCCGGCCCTCGGCTGCCGGCCGGGCATTCCCCGCCCCGCGAGACACGCTGCCCTCCGGCGACCCGCTCGCCCGGGCCCTTCTCCGCGGAGTGCCCGGCGAGGCCACATCCCGCACCCACAGAGGACCCGACCCAGCCGCCGCCCACCCCGTCCCCCGCGCCCATCCAGCACCGGGCAGCGTCGCGTCGCCGAGGAGCCCGTTGCGGCCAGTCACTCGTCAGGCGCCGGGGGCACGACAGGAGGCCCTGGCTGGGCCGTGGTGACCCCGCACGCGCGCGCGCGCGCGCCCGGGGTCACGAGGAAGGCAAAGGGGTGGGGGCGCTCGACGGTGGGCAAGCCGGGCACCCGTCGTCGCCCCGCGCTTCTCGCCGGACGCGCGAGGGAGGAGAAGGGCCCTGGGGGCAAGCGTTTGGACAGAGCGGCGGTGGCGCCGGCGACCAAAAAGGGCGTCTTGCCTCCCCGTCGGGGAATCGAACCCCGGTCTCCCGCGTGACAGGCGGGGATACTCACCACTATACTAACGAGGACGGCGGCGGCGGCCACCCGGGCGCCCGACCCCTCTCCGCCTGCCCGCCCACGCCTACCCCTGCCCTCGACGCCCTGCCTTACGCAGGCGCCCGCCACGTGCCACACCCGACCGGACCCCAAACCAACCGCGCCAGCCCGCACAGCAGCCCTCCCAGCCCGACTCGGAGTGGACCCCAGGCCCGGGCCCCGGACCCGGACGGCGCGGAACACTCCGAGTGCGCCGGCGCCTAGGGCCTGCCCGGCGCGGATCGCGCAGGGAGAAGAGGCCCGAGCGGGCAAGCAAGGATGCGAGCAGGAGGACGGGCGCCCCGGATGGGCAGGGGCGGAGGAGGGAGGGCGGCGAGGACCTAGTGGGGGTGGGGGGTGGGGGGTGGGGGGGGGCGGCGGCGGCCAGACAGGCTGGGCCGACGCCGGTCTCTGGGTGCGGGGCCGCGATGTGCGAGGGGGCGGGGCGGCGCGGGGCGAGGCGGCGGCGACGGCGGCGGCCGCGGCGGGCGCGGCGCCAGGCGAGGCGGCTGGCGCTGCTCCTGGTCGGCCGGGGCGCGCGTCCCGTCCCTTGCGCGCCCACACAGCCGCCAGCCGCCGCCAGCGTTCGCGCCGGGTCCCAGCCAGGCGAGCGGCGACGCGCCCAGGCCCGCCGTCAGGATGGCCGAGCGGTCTAAGGCGCTGCGTTCAGGTCGCAGTCTCCCCTGGAGGCGTGGGTTCGAATCCCACTCCTGACACGCCCACCTTTTGGCCCGCCCCACCAGGGCACCGGACCCCGGCGGGCCTGGAGCCACGCCCTATCGCAAGCCCGCTCCTGCCTGGCCCGCCGCTCCGGCCTTGCGCCCTAGCACAAAGGGCCCAGTGCCGAGCCCTGACGCCTCGACGCTCCTGGCCCCAGGCTTGGCGCACACACGCCCTCCCCCACCAGGTCACGCGCCTTTCCCGCCCGATCCCACGCCCACCCCCGCAGGCCTGGGCCACTTGGCAGCACGTCTCTCCTCACCTGCTTTCCGGGGGCTGCGTTTTCCTTCCTTCCTCCCTCGGGCTCCCGCTCCCGCTCCCGCTCCCGCTCCACTCCCGCGGCCCCCTGCAGACCAGCCGGCGGCGCAAATGCCCAAAGCCCTCCGCATTCCGTTCTCCACCAGACTGGTGCCTGCTGAAGAGCGCCTCGCTCTCAGAGCCGTGCACTCCCGCCACCAGGAGCACACCGTCCCACAGAGAGCCCGTCCGTCCTTTCCGCCGGCCCCCATTCCCTTCTCTCCACACCCTCCTCAGGTGGCCCGAGGTGCCCACGACGATTTGCCACCTTGATGACGCTTTACCCTGCCCACACCTGCCTGCCTCCCTCCCGGGACCCAGGCTGCCCAGCCACCTGCTCGCCGGCCCACGACAGGGCCCTCCCTTCAGTGGGCCTGGCCCGGGAGTCCAGCCCGGGCAGGTGGCTCCCGTGAGCGCTGAGCCCAAGGAAGCCCTGGATCCCCAGGCCACCCACCTGGGCGCCCCAGCGCATCTCCGCGCCGGCAGCCGCTGCCCGGCCGGGACCCGAGGACCCCAGCGCGCTCCCTCACCGCGCTGTCGGCCAGCTAGCCAGCAGCCACTCTGCCGGAGCGCTCCCGCCAGCCAAGGTCGCGCTCTTGCCTCACAACCACCGCCGCCCTCCCCACGCCCCCCGCCCCCCCGCCGAGCTGGCCCCCGAGGGAGCGCTGCGCGCCCGAGCTCACACACCTCGCTTCGCTCTCCTGGCCTGAGCGGCTACTCGGCGGCGCCGGCGGCGCTACGGGGCCTCCATCTCCTACACACGACACACGCGCCCGCCCACACCCACACCCACACACCCCACCCCGCGACAGCCCACCCCACGGCACCGCACGTGCGCACACAACCGGAGCTCCGGTCCGCCGCCCCGCCCGCCCTCGCACCCTCTGCCCCGGCCAGGAAGCCCTCGGCCAAAGGGGCTTTGGGTGGCGGCTGAGAGGAGCCGCGGAAGGCCACGGCCGTGCTCAGCCGCGCCTGCCACAGCCTCCCCCGCGCTGGGTGGGATTCGGGCGCTGGCCAGCCTGGGTCCGGCTCCCGGCTGCCCCTGGCCACCCCGGCAGGGCAGCGTCTCGCCGCGGCCCTCGACCGAGGAGAAAGCACCGCAGGAGCCTAGTCGGCCGGCGTGCGTCCCCGCCGCGCTCGGCCCGTCTGCGCCGCTCGCTAGGGCTCGGGACGTGCCTGGAGCCTCTGTCCCACACCGCGCGTCCGCCTCCTGCTCAAACGAAGCCGATGCTCCGAACAGGCCCGGACCCGGGTCTGGCCGCCGCTGGGGAGCGCCGCTGGGGAAGCCGTCTGGGGAGCGGCGCCATCGGTGCATGGGTGGTTCAGTGGTAGAATTCTCGCCTGCCACGCGGGAGGCCCGGGTTCGATTCCCGGCCCATGCAGCGCGCCGTCCCCTTTTGGCCGGCCCTGCAGCCCCAGCGCGCCCCCCGGCTTCCTCTGGCCCACGCTCAAGGCGCCTGGCCTAAACCAGCTCCGCTCCGGACCAGGCCGGAGCCCGCCCCTGCCCTTCCTCTCCGTCTCTCTCGCCCAGCGGACCAAACTCCACCCAGCGCCCGAGGCCCCTGGCCCGCCCACACGCCTCCCTTGCCCCTTTTCTCTTCAGGACCCTGAGCACCCCGCTTCGCTCACCCGCTTCCCTTCCAGCGAGGCTCCCCCGCACCACCACACACCCGCACGGCGCCGCGCCGCACCAGAGCCCACGGGGCCGCGCCCCACCTCCACGCCTTTCATCACGGTTCCTCCCTCCCGGTCTCACTCTACCCACACTGCCAGAGTCCTCCTCTCTTTGCACAACCAGGGGCAACCAAGTTGCCACCCCGAGCCCTGATCCGTCCCATTCTCCTCCAGGGACCCTCACAAACTCACTGGGCTGCACCAGGAAGACCCGATGCATGGCACCACATGCTCCCGACGCGCGCCCTATAGTCTCTTGAGGCCCCGCTTGGCCGCAGTGGCCTTCCAACTCCGCCGCTCCTGCCACGCTAGGACCCCCGCCAACACCAGGTCCACCAACGCCCGCGCCAGCACTAGCACCAGCAGCACCAGTCTCCCCCTCCGCCGCCACCACCACCACCACCACCAGTCCTCCATCACCACACCGCGTCGGGCACCATCGCCCAGAGCAGGGAAGTTCTCCACCATCAGCACCACCCACCCCACCACCAAGTCCACCACCAAGTCCACCACCACGATCACCTGCAGGACCAAGTCCGCCACCAGCGCACCAGCTTGGCATCATTGCCAACGGTACCGAAGTCCTCCACGATCACCACCCCCACCCCCACCGCCACCACCGCCACCTCCACCATCACCACCACCGCCACCTCCAACATCGCCACCACCAACAACTCCACCACCACCGCCACCTCGACCATCGCCACCACCACCACCACCACCACCAACTCCACCACCACCGCCACCTCCAGCACCAGCACCACCACCATCACCAGCAGGACCAAGTCCACCGCCAGCTCACCAGCATGGGCATCATTGCCAACAGTACCGAAGTCCTCCACGATCACCACCCCCACCACCCCCGCCACCACCGCCACCACCACCAGCTCCACCACCACCACCGCCACCTCCACCACCACCACCACCACCATCACCAGCAGGACCAAGTCCACCGCCAGCTCAGCAGCATGGGCATCATTGCCAACGGTACCGAAGTCCTCCACGATCACCACCCCCGCCACCCCCGCCACCCCCGCCACCCCCGCCACCACCTCCACCAACTCCACCAGCTCCACCAACACCAGCTCCACCACCAAGTCCACCATCACCACACCGCGTCGGGCACCATCGCCAACACTCCTGGAGTCCATCACCACCGCCGCCGCCACCGGGACCGTGCACACCATCGCCACAGCAGCCCGCGCACCGGCACCAAGAGCACCGAGGTCAACCCCCAGCACCAGCAGCAGCAGCACCAAGTCGTCCTCCACCAGCAACACAAGCACCAGCACAGCCTGCACCTCCAGCCCCACCAGCCCCTCCTGCCCCAACATCCCCTCACGGTTCCCCTGCCTGCACGCCCCCTCCTCTCCAAGTCCTCACTGGTCAATGATCCTGTGTGGCATTTGTCCCTTTGGCCTCTCTGAATCTCAAGCCCAGGACGCCCCCTGACGCATGACTGGCTGTCCCGATGACAGGTGATCGAAGTCTCGGGGGCGGTGGAATCCCTCACCCCGTTGGGACGGCTCCTAGACCCGGGCCCGCCCTCTCTCTGTGTCTCCCTTCGGCCTGCCCGCCGGCCTGCTTCCCACCCACGCCCCCCACACCCCACCCCTTGGCCTGACCACCTTGCAGCACCGCACAGCAGTCTCCCCCCGCGCACCTCCTCCGCCACGGTCCTGTCCCGCCACGGGGGCCTCCAGCTCTCTTGCACCGGGGCCCGCTCCCCAGCACTTGCCACGCGCAGCTCCTGCCAGCCTCCAGGCTGGACCCCTCCCACCCACCCCCCACCCCCATCGCTCACATTCTCGGCTGGCAGTCCCGGCCTCCCACACGCTCCTCAGGCACACTCGTGCTCTCTCCCCTCCCCTACCTCAGAGCTCACCCTCCCGCACAGGTGCTCACGTCCATGCCTGGCATGGCGCCGGGGAAGGAGCTCTTCCCCCGCCCCACCGAAGCCTCTGCAGACACCCTGCCCGACTGTCCAGCCGCACTCTGGACCGGTCCCGCAAGCCCCACACCTCCCCGCGCCGGGCACCCCACCCACACACCCGGGCTGCCCCCGGCCCTCCCCTCCTTCTGGGATCCTCCTCGCTCTATGCCCTGACCCCCGTGGGAGGCCACCCACGTGAGTAAACACCTTCATCCCGCGGCATCCCCCACCACACACGCTCCACACACACCCCCACACACACGCTCACACCCACACACCCCACACACACCCCACACGCATCCAGACACACCCCCACACGCTCACACCACACACACACACACACACCCCCACACACCCACAGAAGCAATGGCGCTGAGGGAAGTTCCCGTGGTGATGGTCAGCGCCCGGCTGCCCACAGCGGCTCCTTTCCACCGCTGGGACGACCTTGCCCCAACCCAGCCAGTGTGGTGCCGCGGCAGGTTTGGCCGGTGCACGGGCTGTCCGCTTGGGCTCCTGAAGGAGACAATCTCTGAACAGACAGCAGACCCGTGGCGGACAGAGGCGTGCAAGTGTTTCTGGGAAGGAGACCGTGGTCTGCGAT